AAAAAAAAAAAAAAAAAAAAAAAAGAACGGTTTTCAAAAAATTGCAAAAAATAACTATGTTATCGAGAAACAAAAACTAAACAACATTTGCCTAGGCACTACACCCAAATTCTTTACCAAATTTGAATTAAAAATCGGATACAGAAAATAAACACTATGATAAAAATAAAAAAAAGTAAAAAGAGAATTAAAATGAGTGAGTGTGCCCGCACCTTTTCGACACCGCCATCTTTGCCAATTTTTAATTATTTTTTGGCATTGACAAATGTTCTGAAAAATTACAGATATGTAGTTTGCATAATCAATAACGCATTAAAAATTTTCAAAAAAATATAATTTTTTTTTAGGCCTCGAAATAAAGTGAAAACAAAAAATTAAAAGTGAAAAAAAACAAAATAGTGATTGGCCGAGCACGTTTTGACACCCTCATCTTTGACAATTCTACTGTTTGTTTGGCTAAGCGGAATGGCTTCAAAATTTACAGGCGTGTAGGCTACATCATAAAGAACTCACAAAAAAACATTCAGAAAAAAAAAACATATTTTTTGGCGGTGGCCAAACTTGGAGGTGTTCGACCCGCGAACGGGACGTCGAACGCACGAACGTTCGGGGACCAGCCCGGGGGCCCTCGAACGTTCGGTCAGGTAACCCTCTATATATATATATATGTATATATATATATATGTATATATATATATAGTTTTCCATCTGGTGTGGGTGAGTGATAGTCTACTTTGATTTTGGTTAAGGTGGATTATCATTACAGTGTAATCAGTGAGGGGATTCTATAGACTGTTGAGGGTTCAGCCTCCTGATGAGTCGGTCAAACTCCGACGAAACAGTTTGTCACAGCCCCTCGTTTGTTGTCCTCTTCTCCCTCCTTGCCTACGGTTTACCGGGCAATTCTATTTGACGAGATATATGTATATATATATATATATGTATATATATGTATATATGTATATATGTATATATATGTATATATATATATATATGTGTATATATACATATATGTATATATATACCCTGTACCGGCGTTCGGGACAGGCCGAACACCCAAACCCGAACGCCCGAACGTACAGGACCCCTTCGGAAGGCGTTCGGCCCTTCGGGGTCATCCTTTACAACCTCCGCGCGAGCCTTGCGCTGGCGAATGTTTTTTTTTTTTTTTGCACCGGGTTTAGCGGTCTTCGACTTGTGGGGCCTGCCACGAGCACGCTTAGGCTTCGCAGCAGCATCCTCCACCGGTTCCTTCCTCTTCCTCCCCATCGTGCTCACCCACAGGTTGTCATGTTGGACAGCCTCATTGCTGTGAGGGAAGTCAGGTGAGTTCTCGACAGACTGAGCGGACAAAACTGGTCATGGCCTACGCGTGTACACAGTCTTCACTGCAGGCTGGTGCTCCTCTTCGGCGTCCTCGTCATCCACGTTGTGTTGCAGGTCCTGTCGATCCATGCCCTCCGCGTCATCTTGCTGTTCCATGGCCTCCTCCACTCCTTGACTCTCCATCCCCTCCTTGTCCTCTTCATGCTCCATCCCTCGTCCTTTTTTCCGTGCTCCATCTCCGGCTCTTGTGCGTGGTCCATGTCGCCCTTATCTTCTTGCTGGTCCTTCTCCTCCACCTCTTTGCGGTGCTCCGTCTCTTGCTGGTCAGCCTCTTGCTGGTCCGCCTCTTTGCGGTGGTCTGCCTCTTGCTGGTCCGCCTCCTTCAAAATCGGTCCACTTTGTTGTTGCTCTTCCTCTTCTCGCTCTTGCACAGCGTCCAATGGCCGACGTTTCTCCGGTTCCTTCTCCCCAACCTTCTTCTTGCGTCTCTCAATCTCCCTCCAGGTTGGGATTGCTGCGCGACGGGCATCCTATTCCATGATTCGTTTTTGGACGGCATCTCTATCGCGATCTGCTAATGCCTTTGCACGGTCGGCCTCCGCCTCATCTTCATCAACCGGACCACTTTGCAGCAGCAACTCGACGTCCGTTTCCATGTGATGGAACTCAACGCCGGACTGAGGATGGTATCGGGAGGAGCTTTCCCCCCGGGCTTGCGTGGAGACCGCGGGCTGGTTCTCCTTCCTACGCCGTGCAGGTTCTCTCCTACCAACATAAGTCGTGCCCGGAACCGGTGGCTAGGCTCCCAGCTCAAAATCGGAATCACTTTCGTCCTCCTCCTCCTCCGCGCCGCTCGTCTCATCCGACAATCCACCCCTCCCCTTCCACAACTCATCATCCAAATCACCGTCGTCGGTGCACTCGTCCTCTTCGTCCTCAAGCTTCTTTGGAATCCTTCCCTTCCGTGTCTTCACAAAGCTACTTTGCGGCACCAGCTCCTCATCCGTCTTCTCAGTTTCTTCCTCGGGGCCCCTCAAGACAGATCCATTGTTCTCGTCTGGCTCTGGAATAGCCTCGAAGAACGAACTCCACAGATCGACGTAGCCCTCGCCGTTGGCACCGCTGTTGTTGGCAGCACGCAGTAGTTGCATGTTCCAATGGATGTACACCAACTTCTCCAATGTTTCAGGCTTCAAACTGTTCCTCCTTTTCGAATGCACGAAGTCCATGGACGCCCAATTCCTCTCCGTCGGGGTTGCCGTACTCCACATGCCCATCACTTTGATGGCAATGGCCTGCACGTCGAGGACATCGCCACCATAAGTCGCCCACCACTCTGACGGTGTGAGCTTCTCACAATCAACCTTCGCATCGGGCTCCCGCATCTTCTTGTCCTTTCTCCTGGGCCCGTTCGGCGTGGGTTCCTTGTGAAACTCGTGAAGGTCACTCAAAACCTCAAGGTGGTCTGACCCTTTCCAATCACCTCCAACCTGTCTCTGCAGGTAAAGCATCACGTTTTGCACAATTGCACTGTCCCGACCATAGAGCCACCGTGGATTTCTCCTGCGTGGGTCCAGAAGAAATGCCAGTGCATGTACTGGCTGCCGCATCATCTTCACCCAATCTTTGGCTTTCTCCATGACGTTCGCCCGCTGCTCGTCAGTGAGAACCACGTGAGCCACTTTCCTTTCAATCAGGTCGTCGTATTCCACAAGGTTTGTCGGCGATGTTCCATCCCGATCCATCCACCTGAGAAGGCTGTATAACGGTTCCATCACATCGACCACCTTCTTCAACTCCGTCCACCAGTCATCTCTCCTCATGGTGAAGTAAACCAGGTCCGCTTTCGACTTCAACTTTGCAGTGGACCAACAGATCCCTGTCCACCGTGCTGCATTTTTCCGATCCACCATATCGAAAAAGCACTGCCTTCCTATTTAGCAGCCTCTCCAACATTATGTACACTGACCCGAACCGAACTTCTTTGAGACGAAGCAATGTCAGGGAATCGTCCATGGACATCATCAGGCTGTGCGTCGAGTGGTGGTTCCGGATGAACTTGACAATCATGTGGCCGCTCTTGACAGTGCCCTTCACCCAGTCTACCTTGTTGTTGTCTCGCAGCAAAAGGCTGCAACAATGCGCAGCGCAAGGAACCCATCGAATCCTTGCAATGTCTCTGTAAGTCCGGCGTTCCAGAATCTGAGCAGCCTTCTTGTTCACCTCGGCATTGTCGGTGCAGATTGCGTTGATGCGACGCACCCCTATCTCCCTCATGATCTGCTCCCATAACTTTGCCAACGCCTGCGCTGTCTTCTTCCTTGTCGTCATTGACACTGTGGCCATGAAAATTGCACCCTTCTCCCCCGCTGCCAAGAAGTTCATGACAGGGCGCTCTCGACGGTCGGATGACCCGTCCGTGATGAATGTACTACCAGATTCATCCCAATAGGTTGTCAGAGGATTCACTTACTTTTGAATTCGCAAGTAGATGAAGTCAAGCATCACCGTCCTCATATGCTTGTACGAGGGCAGCTTGACCTTTGGTCGCGCATTCGCCACTTCCAAGTAAACCTCATGGAGCTTCTGCGTCGTGTCAAAGTTCAGGAAGTTGAACGCAATGCCAACACGGAACATCGCCTCCGCCCACGCAATATCCAACTTCTTCTGTGCATCGTTGTCCACCCATCTGCTGATTGATGTCTGCTGCAACGATGCAACCCTCGTGTTTGACGTTGAACCCTCCGCAAGGCCCTCGTCTGCAGCGACCGGTTCTGTTCGGGAAGCGGTTTTTGGTGGTGCCATCCCTGCAGTGGTTGGTGGTTGCGGCTCCTCGTACCCGGAAACGAGCGGCTCCACATCGTGAGTCTCCGTCGCAGTCGCCCCCCATTCCGCAATGCCATGCAACTGCTTATAGTTCTTCGGGAGGTACTGCGTCTTTTTGTCGCTGAGCAGCACCTTCGCACCGGCGACCACGAGCTTGTGCACCATCTCACCTGTCCTCAAGGGACACGGCTTCAACAACTTCAAAAAGTGTTCCACTGCACTTATGCTCGTGCCCCTCCAAATCTGCGTGCATAGTTGTTGTTGCCTCGTCTCATCCTGAGGAACGAACAGAGAGGGGTCTAACGCCGGTGTGGGATCCTTTGCAGTCACCCCAGATGCGGAAACACTGGCACTGGCACTGGCCTAAGCTTTCCTTTGTCCGTCGATCCTGAAGGAGGTCTCCTCCTTCCGAATGCGCCACTACCACCACTTGCTGCAACGCCACTGCCACCGCCCCCCACCATTGAACGGCAACATTTGGAAGCACTCGCCAATAAACACCGCACGCACTCCCCTCTGGCCCCCCTTTCAAGCCTTCCAAAAAAAAAAAAAAAAAAAAAAAAAA